TTCCTTCCCCACACCACCCCCATCTAGTTTTTGATCATTTACTAAGTAGTTTAATTAAGCTCTGTAACATCTGGAGAAATTTTATCACCCTAGGCTATAACAAATACTGAGGCTTTTACTTTACTCATTGCCTCTTCTGTTTGGAGTGAATTTTAAAAATATTTTTAAACAATATAAAATTTCGGGGTGCCTGGGTGGCTCAGTTGGTTAAGCGTCCGGCTCTTGGTTTCAGCGCAACTCATGATCTCACAGTTTCGTGAGTTCAAGCCCCACATTAGGCTCCAAGCTGACAATTCAGAATCTGCTTGGGATTCTCTGTCTCCCTCTGTCTCTGCCCCTCCCCAACTTGCACTATCTCTGTCTCTCTCTAAATAAACTTTAAAAAAAAAACAATACAAAATTTAGACTATGTATATGTATGTATGGTGGGCACTTTGACCTCCAGAGATAAATGTTCACTGTCCTCTACCTTAGAGTTAATTTGGTGAAAAGATTGAAAAACACTACCCACTAGTTCTTTTTGTCTCCAAAAACATATCATGAATGTGAGATATTTGTGGACATACCTAGATTTTGATGGTTAGTAGCATATATAAATAGGGCTTAGCATGAATAGTGGCAATTTCTCCTCCAACCCATACCCATTTTCAACCACTGCCTTAGAAAATTTTAATGGGCATGCCCTGAAATAAACTTTTTGAAAAAGCAATTCAATAATCTAAAATTCTTTAACAGGACTTATTTTTATTTTTTTATTTTTTTATTTTTTATTTATTTTTTTTATTTATATATGAAATTTATTGTCAAATTGGTTTCCATACAACACCCAGTGCTCATCCCAAAAGGTGCCCTCCTCAATACCCATCACCCACCCTCTCCTCCCTCCCACCCCCCATCAACCCTTAGTTTGTTCTCAGTTCTCAACAGTCTCTTATGCTTTGGCTCTATCCCACTCTAACCTCTTTTTTTTTTTTTCCTTCCCCTCCCCCATGGGTTCCTGTTAAGTTTCTCAGGATCCACATAAGAGTGAAACCATATGGTATCTGTCTTTCTCTGTATGGCTTATTTCACTTAGCATCACACTCTCCAGTTCCATCCACATTGCTACAAAAGGCCATATTTCATTTTTTCTCATTGCCACGTAGTATTCCATTGTGTATATAAACCACAATTTCTTTATCCATTCATCAGTTGATGGACATTTAGGCTCTTTCCATAATTTGGCTATTGTTGAGAGTGCTGCTATGAACATTGGGGTACAAGTGCCCCTATGCATCAGTACTAACAGGACTTATTTTTAAAAGATGCCTATGTAGGTCTTAATGGAAACATGATTAATCACCCCCAATTTGTTGTAGAGTTTGACTTTCAAATATCTAATTTGCTTAAATCAATGCACCTAGAACTTTAATGTGCCTACAAATTACCTAGGGATCTTGTTAAAATGCACATTCTGATTCAGCAGGTCTAGGATGGGTTCTGAGATTCTAGTTTCTAGCAAGCTAGATGGTGATGCAGATGTTGCTGGTTCAGGGTCCGCATTTTGAGCAGCAAACGTTTAAATGGTTCTCCTCTCACAGTGCTCCACCTGTTTTGAATCATTACTGCTTCTAAACCTGCTGCATGCTGTCAAGCATCAACTAAGCTTGTGAAATTCGTTTCAAATAAGAATCCAGAAGAATCTTTGCCAGCCTCAGCTCTTCAATGGCACAGGGTTTAGAATTGCTATTTGGGGTTTTCTTTTTTTTTTTTTTTCTTAATTTTTTTTATTGTTTACTCATTTTTGAGAGACAGAGAGTGAATGGGGGAGGGGCAGAGAGAGAGGAAGACAGAATCTGAAGCAGACTCCAGGTTCTGAGCTGTCAGCACAGAGCCCGACAGGGCTCGAACTCAAGGACTGCGAGATCATTACCTGGGCTAAAGTTGGACGCTTCAGCCAGAGTCACCCGGGGACCCTGCTATTTGTGGTTTTCTACTACCTTTTCAGATAGATGTTTCAGGCTATGATTTAGAAGGCTGACTCAGCGGAAAAGATTGCTGGATAAATGAGGTATTATCTCTGCATGGTATAACATTATGTCCATAAATATGTGGCTTGGATAAATCAGAAAACAAGATTGGAAGCAGAAAGATGAGTTGGGATGCTATTACAGTGTAGCAGGAAAGTGATGTGAGGCCAATCTGAAGTGGTAATAGGGTGGAATGGACTTTTGAAAAAAAAAAGTAGAGGGGAGGGTATGTGTGTGAGACAGTGAAGGTGGTGGGAGAAAGAAGTTGAAGATTGTTCCAAGGTTCTTAGTTTGAACATCTTGGTAACAGTGGTGCTGTAAACTATGAGAACCTAGAATGATAAACAACTTTGTGCAGGGAAAATATTGGAGAATTTAGTTTGGCTTTGGACATGTTGTATTTGATGTCCTAATACATATGGTTAATAGATTAACCATAGGCAAAAGGTAGTATAGTGTCATAATTTGTAGTGAGAAAAATCTACATTCAAATCTCAACTCTGCTACTTATTTAGCTATGTGATCTTAGGTTATTTAACTTCTCTGAGACTCCTGTTCTTCATCTATAAAGTAAGGATGTAAAAATATACAAGTTTTTAAATAAGGATTAAATCAATATTATAGAGAGGAACCATCCACTTCTTTTTTTATTGTAATGTTTTTTTTATTTTTTTGAGAGAGAGAGAGAGAGAGAGCGAGCAAGCATGAGCAGGGGAGGGGCAGAGAGAGAGGGAGACACAGAATCCAAAGCGGGCTCCAGACTAAGCTGTCAGCACAGAGCCTGATGTGGGGCTCAACCCCACGAGCTGTGAAATCATGACCTGAGCTGAAGTCCGATGCTCAACCAACTGAGCCACCCAGGCACCCCAGGAACCATCCACTTCTGGACAGCCCTTGTCACTACTGTAACTATTAAGGATGTTGGAAAAGAATGTGGTTTGATGAGGAAGAAAATTCAAAAGAGAAGGAAAGGTAAAAAGAACAACTCACATCTTTCGACATTTGCTACATTCACTGAGCTTTTATGAGGAAGATAAGAAATCGTCTTTAGTAGTGTACATCCAAATTGGGATGGCTTTCCCCAAAGATACATTGCAGTTTGGGCTCTGGGATGATTGTGTCTTCCCATCTTCTCCAGGAAGCTGCCTTGGTACTACTTACTGCCCTTTAGTAGAAGCTAATCCCAAACTGACCCTTTTCTCACCCCCAAGAAAAATCCCTGTTGTAGCACACACCTGCCTCCCTTGAGCTGGCCCACATCTTGGAAAGGTTAAGCCAGAGACACTGCTCCAAGGCAGAGTTCTTTGGCTCCAGGACTTGGCATCTGGGTGTGCCCCACCCCATTTTTGTTTTTAATTGAAATGGCCTTGAGGCTTTGTTCTCAAAACAGCACACCTAGAGCTCCATGTTTTTTGTACATTTCCTCCCAACTCCTTTCTTTGTACACACTTGTTTTTGCTCTTAGTGCACCCTTTAATTCTGATCGGCTCATTTATTGCAATAAATAAAAATGTCCCTCAAATAATTCCTCACTGCGATGCCATACAAATCACTGACCTCATTCACCTTAGTGTGTAAGGAGCTGCCAAAGGTACAAAGAGGTGAAGGCTGCCCTGAAAGGGATTTTTTTTTCCTTAAAGAGTTTAATAAAGGGGGAAATGTTTATAAATTGCTTAGATCCTGAAAAGGAAAGTTGGAGAAGACCTTTTTCTGTGGCTGATTACAATAGTTAAATAAATAGATTGGGGTGGCAGTGGGGGAAGGGAGGGGCCCACGGCGTGAATAAAATCATGTGGCTTCTGGAGATTTTATATTCTTCCTGTATGGGCAGAAAGAGCTTAGTCTAAGGAAGATTTTTTTTTTTCAATATATGAAATTTATTGTCAAATTGGTTTCCATACAACACCCAGTGCTCATCCCAAAAGGTGCCCTCCTCAATACCCACCACCCACCCTCCCTCCCACCCCCCATCAATCCTCAGTTTGTTCTCAGTTTTTTTTTTTTAAATTTTTTTTTTTCAACGTTTATTTATTTTTGGGACAGAGAGAGACAGAGCATGAACGGGGGAGGGGCAGAGAGAGAGGGAGACACAGAACTCTGAGCCATCAGCCCAGAGCCTGACGCGGGGCTCGAACTCCCGGACCGCGAGATCGTGACCTGGCTGAAGTCGGACGCTTAACCGACTGCGCCACCCAGGCGCCCCTTGTTCTCAGTTTTTAAGAGTCTCTTATGCTTTGGCTCTCTCCCACTCTAACCTCTTTTTTTTTTCCTTCCCCTCCCCCATGGATTTCTGTTAAGTTTCTCAGGATCCACATAAGAGTGAAAACATATGGTATCTGTCTTTCTCTGTATGGCTTATTTCACTTAGCATCACACTCTCCAGTTTAAGGAAGATTTTAAATTAGAATTCTATCAGATTCCATTTACTGTGTGACCTTGGATAAGTCACCTCACCGGTCTGCGCTTTTATTTTTGTGCAAAGTGAGGAATAATATCCACTTCGAAAGACTTCTGTGAGAATTACGTGAAATGATCTGTTTATGAAATAGCTTTCAAAGAGCTCATTTAATATCAGTTGCCGCTATTGCTGCTTCCCAGAAGGGGCCGTTCTTTACTCCAAAATTCCAGAAACTTTGTTTTCTACAGTTTAACACCCTCGGCTGTAAAATGATGAGAAGAAGCAACATAATTATACCTGGGGCTCATTCATTTGAACAATAACAAAAAAAAAAAAACCGCTTTAAAGTTTAAGTAGGCAAAATACACTTAAGTGGTGGCGGGACGCGCTTTGAAAGCACCCGCACCCCGTCCTCACCCCAGTGGATTATGGGAATCGTAGTCTCCCACTCCCATTGTTTGAGTACAGAAAAGCGAATAGGAAACTACAACTCCCAGGAGGCAAAGAAGCGGGACTATTTCCCAGTCGGGCGGTAGAGCTGTGGGAGGGAATTGGCAATCTTGCTGCCTACGTGGGAGAGAAGGGAGGGTTGGGGGAAGTGTAGAAAACGTGAACCCAAGCCGTGGCTTGGCTTGAGGGAGATTTGGTGGGAGGAGAAGTAGAGGGAAATAGACAGGTGGAGGGTGAGGGGAGGAAGGTATCTGGGTCGCCGCTGCCGGGCGGCACAAAGTTCGCGATGTGGCTGAAGCCTGAGGAAGTGCTCCTGAAAAATGCACTGAAGCTGTGGCTGATGGAAAGGTCCAACGACTACTTCGTGCTTCAGCGGCGTCGGGGCTACGGCGAGGAAGGCGGAGGGGGTCTCACAGGTAAGCTGTGGCCACCCCCCACCCAACTCGGGGCCGTGTTCGCGGGTACTTAAAAGGCGGTGAGGAAAACAGTTACTCGTCGCCACCCGCCGCGCGATTCTCGGCCCCGGGCGAAGGGGCTCGGGTTCTTCTGCCACCACCTTTCCGTCGCCGCCCCTGAGTCCCGAAAATACCTCACTCGACTGGCCGCTGCGCTTCGGGTGGGAGGGGGAATGGAAGGAGGGGTCCTTTCCGAGGCGGTGGAATAATCTGAGGCAGAGGAGGGGTTCTTTCTGAGACAGAGTACCTGCCCCGTAGCTTCCCCCGGGGGGAGAGGCTGACGACGAGTGTTAGACCTCGACAGGTAGCGTTTAGGCTGGTGACAGGGGCCAGTTCAGCAGTTGTGGACTTAACTTTTTTCACGAAACCCCCTCTTGATAATCACCATCCTGGTGGGGGAGCAAGTAAGATTCGGGGGGGGGGGGGCAGGGAGGATGGTGAGGAGAAAGGGAGGAGCCCCGGTCACATCCTGAGGGAAAGGCTTCAAATGAGAGATTCGGAAGTGGCGGGGGGTGGGGAGGTCGGACTTGCAGGGGAGGGCTCAGAATCGCGGACCCCTCCCAATTTAGCATCTTTTGCTCTGCCACCCAGTTTTCAGTCCCTGGGATCTTATTTCAGAGTAACCGTCGTCGTAATTCGTTTCCCTCTCGAGTGTGCGGCGGTGCCCCTTCTTTCAAAGCCACGATTGTAAGCCAACCTATGAAACCAGTGGAAGTTTTTAACTCTTGCCTCCGAATCCGTCCAGGCTTCAGTGATTTGATTTTGCAAATCCAGAACTGGCCCTGGGTCACGTGTTTAAAGCCTCCAGACAATTTGGAGACTTCTCGTCTGGGGCAGGGGCATTCAAACTTTTGGACACGGCTGGTAGGGGGACGCAGAGCTCTTTTTCGTGACCATTTGCAGTTTGGTATGGTGGCTTTGGAGTGGTGGACCAGACTTCCTTTAGGCAGCGTGATGTAGCGGGAAGAGGGAAGAGTAGGGAAATCTACATTTTAGCCCCATCCTCGTCTCTTGTTGAATGTCATTCGACAGATACTTTGATTTATTACACATAAACGCCTGCTGTGTGCCACAGGGAATGCTAGTGTACGAAGACAGTTAAGATTCACTTTTCCGCCCTTGAATTGCTCTTGATCTGGATACGGGGGAGAGGGTCAGGTTAGGGAGAAGTAACCAGTAACCCAGGCAAATTGGACTTATAACCAGTAACTAGTAAATCAGGCAAATTCTAATTAGAACCAAATAACTGAAAGGTTGTGTAAAGATTCACGGAGGAGATGGCATTCCTCTTCCTCTTCTAGGAAATGGTGTCTACCTCATAGAGTTAAGAGGATGAAACGAAAGGTAATTGGTGCCAAATCAGTGCATGTTGTTAAGGTGGTGACAGATATGTGCCTTTATTTCCTCTTTTTTTTCCAAGCCATCCCCAAGCTGGAGAGAATTCTGAGGTTCTACAGGAGGTTTTTTGTTTTTTTTTTTTTTTAATTTTGCAAGACTTGTTCATCTTATCTGGCTTCTAAAAAGTCCCCCTTGAAAATATGGCAACAAAAATTGCCTGGTTAAACTCACATTTGGTCATTTTCTGAGTTTTAAAAATTACAAGTGTTATTTTGCAGAGGAGACTTTCCATTTAATAGATGCATCTATTTTCCAAATTAAATTTGAGAATCAATGTTCATAATTACCCAGTGACATTATTTATCCTCTTTAGTCCATTAAGAACAACTCAGAGTACATTTAAAACATCTTACAGCCCTGTGTTACAGCATAATATTTTGGTTCCCCATAACTTTTCTTGACCAGAATTTTTATGGTGTTCTTGTCCACATTTACCAAGGAGGTATATTTCACTTTGTACAACTGTGTTCCTGAAAAATAATAGGTAAATCAGATTCTTGAGAATCAAACCACTATAATGGAGTATGAAAGAGTTTACTTGTTGCAAATTTCCTGTAAATAATCATTCCTTTTTTTCTGTTTAGTTTTTCATTTCACATGTTTTCTTAAAACATAGACCTATTGCACCAGTTTCTCTATTCCACTCACTCCCATGTACTCTTCAAAAGCCCATATCTCTAGAATAAGAGATTTGTCTGCAGAAATAAACCAAGATTTCTACCACACATGTATGTTGAGAATAGCCATAGGCCCATATTGTGGTCAATGTGTATGTCTGCATGATTATTTTACCTGTGGTATTGTCAAGATGCTTGAAATTTCCATGAGTGCTGCCACTTTATTACATGTAAATTAAGCAAAATGAATCAGAAAGGAGCAGAGGTGTTTTTAAGGTTTGTTTGGTTCGTTTTGGTCCAGAATAAGCATGTGCTGATTTTTATGACTGCTCAATTACTGTTTTTTTTTTTTTTTTACTTAAAATTGTGAAGCCAAGAGCTCTGTTATGCTTTACACAAATCCACATTTGGATTACCTCTCACAGGAGTTTGGGTGCCAGCATAAGCTTGCCTCTGTCTGTTTTGCTTGCTGAAATCCAGTGTTGTTATGTGCTACCCCTTTAAAAGATTCCTTTATACATTTTGTTTAATGAAGAAGAGATAATGACCATCTAGAAATGTTAACAGTTGTACTTTCTTTAAGATTTTATTTCTTTGCCATGTGATAATTGGCAATAACCACCAGCAATGTAATGACTTTAGCTGTGGATTTGGTAAAGTTAGTTGACTCTATTATTTTTCCTAAAAATGGAATTGGGACAACAGAGAACCCTAGGGTGGTTGTAACAGGAGATTAACTTGTAAGTTAGAATTCCGAGGTCCTTTTCTAAATTTCTGAAACCCATTTAGTAGACATCTAGTAGATTACTTATCATTTGCCTATTTAATCTTAGTTTTCCTGGTTCACAGTAAGGTAGAATATATTGTGGAAATTTTCATTGTATGTAAAGGTTATTTTATAGATAAAGTGATTTTCTGTCATTTAGTGGAGTAATTCACCCTTCTGGACTTTTGCAGTTACCTTACATTATCCCTTGATCTTCCTGGCTGATAAGGGTAATGACTTTTCTATAGCATCTCAATTTAGCACCTGTCTTTATGTAATTGAAAATAATTTATGCATATTTGGCTCATTAAGCACAAATCAACAATTTGCTTGGTAGTTGGGGTGCTGCATGAGTGGAGTTATGGGGCTACATTCTAGTGTGTCAGACTTAGGAAGATCTGCCAATCAGAAAGCTTTAATTCAGATCATTTGTTGAGAGTATCTGATTTTTGAATATTCCGTATCTGCATAGTGTAAGCAGGTTCTTGTGTGTTAGAATGATCATCTCCTTCAGTAGACCTTGTTTTGGGGTTGTAGAATGAGACTAAAGAGTAAACTTACTAAAATGGAGAAGTTTTAAGACATTCTGTTTCCCTATCTCTCTCCTCTTTCATCTTGGCACCATTACGTTGAAATTAAATCATATGTATGAACTAGAACATAATAATATCTTAAATGCGCTTTCCATTTCAAAATGTTTTATGATATTTATATAAACTTAAATCATGGTGGAAATGATTTGTCATAAGTAAACACATACATAATAAGGTAGCTTTTAAAAGAACTTGTTAGTGACCGTCTCTCAAAAATACAAGGCTTTCTCTCCTTTTTCCCCACCCGCAACTCAAGTTGCCCAACTTTGAAAACATTCTCAGTTAAGTTTTTCTTAGCAAAATATGCCTGCATTCCATGTTCACAAAGGAACTGATAAAATTTTTGGTCTCCCAAGTACCTTATTACTGGAACCAGAGTGTCTAAATGGTGACCATGACATTTCATTTCAGGTAAATATCAAATCGCTACCCACACACATATTGTAAATTAATAAATATCATTTTGACTTAATAGAAAATCCCATAGAGCAACCCCTAGGGAAAACAACCGTGAGATCATAACCTGAGCCAAGATGAAGAGTCAGACACTTAACTGACTGAGCCACCCAGTTGCCCTTACAGTGTTATATTAGTTTTAATGTATAATATAGTGATTCAGCAGTTTTATACATCACCCAGTGATCATCACAATAAGTGTACTCTTAATCCCCTTTATCTGTTTCACTCATCTTCCCCCAACCCCGGGCAATCACCCATTTGTTCTTTATATTTAAGAATTGTGCGGGGCGCCTGGGTGGCGCAGTCGGTTGAGCATCCGACTTCAGCCAGGTCACGATCTCGCGGTCCGTGAGTTCGAGCCCCGCGTCAGGCTCTGGGCTGATGGCTCAGAGCCTGGAGCCTGCTTCCGATTCTGTGACTCCCTCTCTCTCTGCCCCTCCCCCGTTCATGCTCTGTCTCTCTCTGTCCCAAAAATAAATAAACGTTGAAAAAAAAAAAAAAGAATTGTGGGGGTTTTTTGTTCATTTCTTTGTTAATTTGTTTTATTTTTTAAATTCCACATATGAGTAGAATTATATGGTATTTGTCTTTCTCTGGCTTATTCACTTAACAACCCTCTAGATCCATCTATGTTGTTTTGAGTGAGAAAGGACAGTTTCATTGGAAGTCTTAAGATATGAAGGATGATCATTGTCACCACTTTTTCTTGGTAGTAGTGGAAGGATTATTGACTGCATACCTATAAGCCTCAGGGTTTTTTTGTTTCTTTGTTTGTTTTTTAAGATACCTGTTAATAACACTACTCTCTCTTTTTTCCTTTCCCTTGCTTGCTGCTGGTGTCTTCCTTTCCTGAAACATAGACAGGAAACTTCTGCTACTCCACTTCAACTTAGAGGCATGGGAATTCAATTCTCATGGGAAGAGGATTTTTTTTTTTTGATTAAGGTATTGGAGATTTATTATATAAGTAGGAAACTAGTATTAATTGCTATCAAGCAGATTTCATTCTAATGAAACAACAAGACTATAAAGTGATGACCCTGAACAACCTTCATTT